CGCCAAACCACGCGCCCACACCGGGGCCCCGTAAAGGGCCATGGATCGCACGATCCCCGCGTAGAGCCTCCGGCAGGAGGCGTTTGGCCCCCCCCAGGTTCGGCAGGAGCCGCCTGAAGGCAGCCCCGGTCCGTTCCAGTTTGGGAGCCAAACGTCGGAAGTGCTCAACGAAGTTCCATCGGCCGTCGAGGACGAGTCCTAGGTACTTCAGCGTCGACTCGACGCCGATGGATACCCCTCCTACCATCACTAAGGATCCTGGTGGAGGCCTGTTCCGAGGACCATGGAAGTGCATGGCCTCGGACTTGTGCAGAGCCACCTCGAGACCCAGTTGCCGAATCCTCTCAACGACTATCGCAACCCCGCGTGTCATAGTTTCCGCCGCCGCCTCGTACGACCCCCCCTTGTGCCCGTACCAGCGTGTCGTCAGCGTAGCAAACTATGCTGACGCCGGTAGGGAGATCGGCGCGCAGCACCCAGTCGTAACCGATGTTCCACAGAGGTGGCCCCAGAACCGAACCCTGTGGGACACCGCACGACATCTCTCGCCGGTTCCACTCACCGTTGCGACCGGGGTAGATGACGGCCCTGTCCGTCAGGTAGTCCCCGACTATACGACGGAGATAGGTCGGCACCCGGTGATACCGGAGTGCCTCCCTAATGCAGCTCCAGGGCATGGAGTTGAAGGCGTTGGCGATGTCGAGAGACACCGCCAAGACAACCCCCCCTCTGGCCACTGCATCCCCCGTCGTGAGGGCTCTCACGCGCATGATGGCGTCCACCGTAGAGCGCCTCTTGCGGAAAAACAACCGGCCCCGTCCCCGCAATGTGCTCGGCGAGGCGGTTTGCAATGACTCTTTCAAAGAGCTTGCCCACCTCGTCGAGCAGCACCACGGGCCGGTATGCGGACGGAGAGTCCGCAGGGCGCCCCGGCTTCCGAATGAGGACCAGCTTCCCCGTCTTCCAACGAAGCGGGAATTGGCCTCTCTCCAAGCATGCGCTTAGGAGCCCCTCCAGTCGGGGCCCGAGAGCCTCCGAGGCCAGGACCCAGGCTTTGCCAGGCAAGCCATCGGGTCCTGGGGCGGTATTCCTGGCCTTGAGCCTACGTACCGCCACTCTCAGGTCTACCCCGGTCCCTTCCGGGATGTCGTCGTCGTCGTCCTGGTGGTCCGCTTCCGGCACCGCAGGTGGCGGAGCCATAGGCGGGGGCGGATGTTCCCCCTCGCGTAGGGAACAGAGCGCTCACCACGTCCTCCACGAGCTGGGGCCGGAGACTTTGCGTCAGCTGGGGGCCCAGGTGCGGAGTTTATCCCGCACCATCTTGTAGGGGCGCCCCCCACGGATCTCTGTTGAGAGTCTCCAGCATCTCCTCACGGGCCCGATCCCGGGCCCGCAGGACAGCCTCCCGGAGGGCGGTCTTCGCCGCTTTTATCCCTCGTACAGCTCTGCCTCAATAGCTGCCGCATTCGGTGGACGAATGCGGAGCCTGCGATGCCTGGCGTACAGGTGCCGCGCGGCGACACACGCCTCGCGCAGAGACGTCAGCTCACGCGACCACCAATACACCTGACGACGGGCGCTTCCTAGCCGGACGCGGGGCACTGCCACGTCACATATCTCGGACATAGCCTCCTGGAACCACCCTGCCTCATCATTTACGTCGGCAGGCCTGTCCGGTGATGACACCCAGGCCTGTACGATCGAGGCTTCTAGGAGGAGCTCCCGGTCCAGCTGCTTCAGCGCCCAACGCGGACCACTCGGGGCCTGTTGGACTGGCGCGCTCGAGGGCTGGGTGGAGACATCAAACCGGATGTACCGGTGGTCGGAGTCGGTCTCCACCCCCTCCATGACACGCCAGTCAATGGCACGCGGCGACAGAGCGGGGCTAGCGAACGAGATGTCCACCACCGACTCGCCCCGCATCCGCACACACGTGGGGACAGAACCCCGATTTAGGACGACCAGGCCTGTCTCCAGAGCCCAGTCTTCCACCATCCTACCCCGCACATCTGTACGACGAGAACCCCAAGCCAAGTTCTTGGCATTGAAGTCCCCGAGGACAAGTACGTGGAGGGGATAACTTCCGACGACGACTGCTCTCAGCTCTGCAAGAGAGTTGTGGAGCTCGGCGAGAGATCGGTTCGGAGAGAAGTACACCCCCACAACGACGAACTCCCCGAACCGTGCTGCTACGCACCCCTGACCCCTCCTGACACCTTCAAGGGTCGGGGTACCGGCGGCGGCCGAAGAGATGATGGCCACTGAGCCGTTAAGGTCCGCCACCCAGTCCTCCCTAGGCCAGACAAAATACGGCTCAGCGACCACAGCGATGTTAATCGACCACTGCGCTATGCTCTGGAGCAACAGATCCTGAGCGCAGGCGCAGTGGTTGATATTCGCCTGGAGGAAGCTTAATGGGGCCGTTATAGGCATTCCATTTCAGCTTCCTCCACGGGGGGCCCCTCTGCGGGCGTCGGTGTCGCGGCGATGGCGGCGGCGACAGTGACAGCGGTGGCAGTGGCAGTCGCGGCTGCGGCGGAGGCCACAGAGGCGGTGGCGGCTTTGGCCCCTACCCTACCCGCGGCCTTGGCCTTGGCGGGAGGCACGCAGGCCTTGCTTCCGGCCCGGTGATCGGCTGGCTTGCCGGTCGCCGCACATGCATCACAGTGCGGCGTGGCGCAGCAGGTCGCCGATATGTGTCCGGGCTGACAGCAGCGGAAGCAAAGTCCACTGCGGTCAACCTCCGAGGCGCATCTCACTGATACGTGGTGCCCCACGAGACAGCGATAGCACCTCAGAGGTCTGGGCTCCAGCAGCTTAACCTGCGCTGAGACCCAGCCCACCAGAAGCCTTCGATCCTCCACTATGGTTTTGGCCGCCGTAACAGGGCAGCGCACCGTGGCGGCATGCATACCCTGTTGGTCCGGGCGTATGGCGCCTGACCTGACCTGGTCAGTAGTGCACCCCCCGGACCTGGCAACGGCGGCCACCAACTCCTCCTCTGATACCGAGTCGTCCAGACCCACGATGCGCAGGTCTGCGCATCTGACGGGCCTGGACACTCGGGCCTCGTCCGCGTCCAGAGACGCTCTGAGCTTCGCAGCCAGAGCGTCCGCGGTCGCGCCACTGGATTCCCCGGGGACCTCCAGCATACGGGCCCCCGTCTGGGTGACTTTGAGCCGGAGGCCCCCGGTGATCCCGAGCTCCCCGAGATCCACCGCCTCCTTCGCCTTCGCGAGCAGATCGCGGTAGGTAACGCCCTTCTTTTCCGCGTCCGGCTGTAGTGTAATCACTACAGCTGCGGTCTTCGGGGCGCGGAGCCTAGCCGCGGTCTTACGCGCCCTGAACTGGTGCTGCCGCTCCTGCTCTTTGGCCTTTTTGGCTGCCTTCTTCCCCTTCTTCTTGTTCCCGACCACCTGCCAACCGGCTTCAGCCGCGGGAGGTGTAGGAAGCTGGGGGGGGGGCAGTGACGGCGGCGGCAGCTGGCTTGCTGCTGGCGCTGGCACATTCGCCGCAGGCACTGGGGCTGGTGCAGCCACCACCTGTGCTGCCAACAAAAAAAATTAAAGGTCCACCTTGGCAGAGACCCCTGTACCAAGGTAAGCAGATTTAGAGGATTTATTACTCGCCAGGGGGGTCTGCAGGTACCCTGGCGAGGAGCGCACTTGCAGCTGATTTGTTCATAGAACCCCGTCAGCCATCCATCCCCTCGCGGTGCGTCGCCGCTTGGGATTCGGGGTAACTTTTTATAGAGGTTTTCTCCCTCGCGGTCCGGGCGATTAAGCCAAGACCTTTGGTCCTTATCAAAGCCGCGAGACATGATCCACGACACTTCTATACTGGGATTACGAGACCGGCGGTGACAGCAAAGGATGAATCCTTCACTGTCTGCCCGGAGGCAGGGTAAGTGCACACCGAGCCCGCCCTCGCTCCTCTGCTGTGCCCTCTGCTGATCAGAGGGTCACGCAGAGGAACGCACTGTTGGTCCGGGACGGACCCCTCCCATGTCAGAATAATTAGCCGCGGCAGCAACATTCCCCAAGGAATAAGAATTTCTTCTCATTTCTCGAGGAAGTTTATCGCCGCGCCCAGGGTGCACCGGCCCAGTTGCTGCTCTTCCCTCCAGACGTATCGAGAGGGACCCGCAACTACCAGGCACACGTGGAGGACTTCTGACTACGCACCTCACGGAAGCCAGCCTAAGATTGGGCCTAGGGGTGCGAAGAATCCCCGAGTGACGAAAGCAACCCGTCGAACGACCCAAGCGACACATATGGATTCCGACATGCTAAGCGATATAATCTCATCGACACCCTCACCTTTTCATTCGTTCGAGTCATCTATTTCATCTCCACGTTCATACCAGACTTCGACGAGATCAGACTTTGTATCACCCATGTCTGAGGACGTTGTGCAGGAGGCTGTCGCCACTAAACCTGCACCCGCCCCAGACAGAAATCGTGTGCGCAAAAGATGGACAGAAGAAATGAATAAATTCATCTGGCGCACGTACCTTATAGCCACTAAATCAAATACTAACAAAATATACCCCAATCATCTACATAAAGAATTCACTAATAAATATCCGCAGATGCAGGCATCAAGACAAAGGTTGGGAGATCAATGCAGAGCTATACTCAGAAATAAATTACTTCCCCAAAAAATATTAGAACATATAAGGAACGAAGTTGCAGTATACTTACAACAAACACACAGTAATACCAATCATATACAAACCGACTCGATCACGCAATCACACACGCAACCACATTTTAGCAATCAGCAAGGCTTGACACAAAGAAGACGATGGACAGCTGAAACGAATCTATTGTGAGAAATTACTATAAAATCACCAAACTTGGAGAAAATACCGTTACCGTACCATACCACCACCATACCGTAAACCAATCCATCAAGCAGTCATAGAAGAACACCCTGAGTTAACAGGTGTAATTGAACAACGAATATCAGATCAGCTCAGAGTAATATTGAAAAATAAAATGATTAATGACCAAAGACTTCAAAACATACGTGAAAATATAGCAAGCAACCTGAATTCCCGACGAGACAATATGGAAAATAATTCATCACATTCATCACCCGAAACAGAAAATTCACAAGAAGTCGACGTTCATCCATTCATTATAGAAAGTAACACTCCCGTGCATACACTTAACTTAACCTTACAACCTCAACCTGACGAATCAGTGATATCCACTCAAGCCTCTGAACCTCAAAAAAACCAAGCAATAGAAAATAATGACGCGAAAAGAATCCAGGAACTGTTTAGAATAGCAATAGACAAATTTCAGAATACCAACCCAACTAAACGACCTTATATACCAAAACAAAAAACTTCTTAAAGGCTCGCACAAATTGTAGATTTTATAAACACTAAAATATCACCAAATCATATATCGAGAGAGCAGGATTTTGAGACCACTCAGACCATAATTTACTGCGTGGCGTACACAGTAGCAGAGCCGTGGTAGCTCAGATGGTTAACGCTCGCTGTAAATATAACAGAATGCGAGTAACCCGGGTCCGAGCCACGCCGGCACCAATGAAATTGTTAATTGCAATTTTAAGTGCTGATTTACCACGTGCTCGGCGGTGAAGGAAAACATCGTGAGGAAACCTGCATGTCTGAGGAATAAGAAAAAAAAATATTTCGAAGACATGTGAAGTTCGCCAACACGCATTGGGGCAGCGCGGCGGACACTTCCTTGCCCTAAAACCCCCTCAGAAATGAGGGGAGGCCTGTGCCCAGCTGTGGGACGTATATAGGCCGTAACTTTACTTACTTTACTGTACACAGTAGCTATAATTAACGGAACCAAAATCAGAGACATAAACATAACACCTACCCAAAGTCGAAATAAAGAACCTGCTTGGCAGAAAAGGTTAAAAAGAAAGATATTGGATTTCAGAAGAGACAATGGAAGGCTCACAGAATATACCAAAGGCAATAGAAGCAATAGACTCAACACTTCAGTGGAAGCAATAAAAAATAAATACCGAATACATTCCCAGCACGAAGAACCCAATTTAGGCGATGAACAATGCCTTGACACACTTAAACAAAAAATGAATGCGGCATCCAGCAGATTAAAAAGATACCTTAATTGCACACTTAGGAAGTCACAAAATAGCCAGTTTATCAATAATGAAAAACAATTTTATAGGAGCCTGACTTCAGACACGCAACACGACGCACATAGAAATAGGCAAGATGAACCATTACCACCCGCCAATGAATTACATAGCTTCTGGTCTGGTATTTGGTCTATACCGGTTCACCACAACACTGAGGCAGAATGGCTGAAATTTGATTCCGAAGTAACTGATTCTATCTCACCAATGGCATTTGAACAAATACTTCTGGAAGTATTTGTGCATATATTAAAAAAACCATAGCTGGAAAGCACCCGGAAGTGACCGTATACATAACTACTGGTATAAGAAACTTTCAACAATTCACCCTCTACTTCATAACCATATCAATGATTTTATACAAAAGCCAGACATAATGCCCCGATACATTACACAAGACCTCACATACATAATTCCGAAAGACGCAGATCATCAAGATCCTGCCAAATTCAGACCTATCACATGTCTCCAAACCATTTATAAACTACTTACACCATGTATAGCCGAACTCTTACATCAACATATAGCCACAAACAACATCCTTACTGAAGAACAAAAAGGATGTCAAAAAAGTAGTCAGGGGTGTAAAGAGCAACTTATAATAGACTCCGTAGTAATGAAACACGCTATTTCTAAAAGGAAGAACATCAATACAATGTATATTGACTACCGAAAAGCATTCGACTCCGTACCGCACAGCTGGCTCCTACATGTACTTCAACACTATAAAATTCACCCACAACTTATACATTTTCTAGAAAAATCAATGCAGCACTGGACAACTACATTAAAAACCATAGGAACGTCTTTTATAGAAACATCAGAAATTCAAATACGTCGAGGAATCTTCCAAGGGGATGCGCTTAGCCCTGTATGGTTCTGTCTCGCATTAAACTCTCTCTCGCAAATGCTGAACAAAACCAATTATGGTTACTCTATCATCACACCACACAAACACACCACTCTAATACACCTGATGTACATGGATGACATAAAACTATACAGTAACACTACACGGTCATTGCATCGCCTCGCAGACATCTCCCAATCTTTCTCAAACGACATTCATATGGAGTTTGGGATTGACAAGTGCAAAACTTTCTCGGTTAAAAATGGAAAAATTAACCCCAACAGCTATAGCCTAGTAACAGGAGACACGATTGAACCTCTAGAACCCCACGCCTCATATAAATACTTAGGCTTCCAACAAGCGCGACAGATCCATCAAAAGCAAACGAAAGAAGGTCTCAAAAAGAAATTTAAACATCGGCTCAATAGTATATTCCGGTCTCAACTCAACTCCCGCAACATGTCAAAAGCAATCAAAAAAAGTACTAACGCGATCCCCATACTGACATACTCGTTTGGTATAATAAACTGGACTCAGGGTGACCTTATCAATCTGCAAAGTATTATAAATACCACTCTAACGACTCACCGCAAGCACCACCCTAGATCATGCGTGCAAAGGATGACTCTTTCAAGATTCGAGGGAGGACGAGGTATAATAGATGTCCTCAACTTGCACAATAAACAAATCAAATCCCTTCGACAATATTTCCATCAACGCTCAGAACACTCACTTCTCCACGAAATAGTAACCTTAGCCGACAAACGCTTCACACCACTTAACCTCGCGGACCGAAACACACAACGCAGTGAACGGATCACTAACGTAAAAGAGAAAATGGCCTCATGGCAACAGAAGTCCCTACACGGAAGGCACTACCACGACCTGCAGCTGTCACATGTCGACAAAAAAGCGTCGAACGCCTGGCTGAGGCGCGGTGAACTCTTCCCAGAAACGGAGGCATTCATGTTAGCGATCCAGGACCAGGTCATCGATACCCGAAACTTCCAGAGACACATAATACGGGCACCTAACCTCCCCATTGATACTTGCAGACATTGCTACTCTAGCCCCGAAAACATACAACACATAACATCCGCCTGTAGAGCCCTTGCACAAACCGACTATAAGCATCGGCATGACCAGGTTGCCTCCATAATACACCAATATCTTGCCCTTAAATTTAAATTCATACAAAAAATGACACCATATTACAAATATAAGCCGGACACCATATTAGAAAACAATAATCATAGAATCTACTGGGACAGGACCATTATCACGGATAAAACTATTCACTTCAATAGGCCTGATATCACAGTGTATGACAAAAATAACAAAACTACTTACCTTATTGACATTGCCATACCAAACACCCATAACATTCAATCCACCATAACTGAAAAACTTACAAAATATCAGATTTAGCTATAGAACTCAAGCGTAAATGGAGAGCAGAAACCATCCATATAGTCCCAATAGTTATCTCATCTACCGGAGTTATACCTAAAAGCCTACAACGCAGTCTAGATATTTTGCAAATACCCCAACACACACTTCACACCCTGCAGAAAGCTGTCATTCTCAACACCTGCCGACTCACACGCAAATTCCTCACCACGTCATACGTCACCTCTGCTTACACCATCACCTAGCACCTGCTCACGATTGGCTTCGGCCCGTGTGATTAGGTTTTAAGTTACCTCTTTATTAGGGAGAATATAGATATGTACAAAATATAATAATAATACAATAAAAACTGCGGTTGCCAACCTGCTTGCCAAGCATGGCAACTATGGCATTATACCTATCACGATGAGAGTAACGAAGAAACGGCCTCCGGTACCCGGCGGTCCCGCTATACCTGGCTACGGTAGAGACCACAGTAACGGCGGGGCAGGGCAGAAAAAGGTATAAAGGGTGAATTTCACCAATGCTTTGGCAAGGTTTTAATGTAAGGGTGAAAAAAACTGATATAACGTTGGAATCTGAATAAACCAAAATAATATCAATAATTTACCATAAAAAAATGTAATCGAAAACGAAACGTTTTAAATAAAGTTTATATTAATATTAAACCAATTAATTAAAATTGAAATAAATATTATATTACACATATTACCAAACGTGCAGAAATCACAATAAATTATTATAGTCACACCATTTAATTCATCATGGTAGTGCTACGTCCGAGGCATAGAGCAAAACTTTTTTTTATAGAAGAGGGGGCAAACGAGCATGCGGCTCACCTTAAGTGACTACCGTCGCCCATGATCAACCGTAACACCAACAATTGCAGGTGCGTTGCCGGCCCTTTAGAAAGGAGTAAGCTCTTTTCTTGAAGGTCCCCAGATCGTATCGTCCGGAAAAATCGCCGGTGGTAAACTATGCCAAAGAAAGGTTGTACGCGGTAGAAAACTCCTTTTGTAACGTACAGTGGTACGTAAACGGTAAACGCCTATGTAGTATGTACTGTACAGATACTGCTGGCCGAGGCCTGGTGCGATGTGGACATGTCGCTCTTTTTGCTGCAGTATTTACGTAAAGATTGTTTTATTGATTATATTTGTATAATTTTATTTTTAAATTCATTGTTTCATAAATATTTTCTTTCCATAAATATTCTTCTTTTGTATGTATGTCGATTTAATATATTTTAAGTTAAAATAGCGTAGTAAGGTCCTTGACCTTGTCAATAATTATCATTTGTAAATATGAGACATAAAGTGAAACCTTTTACGAAGAGTATAAAACGTTCATATAAGTCAAACGCCCGATATATGAACGACAAGAAGGTTACAACATTTAATTAGGTATTACTAAATATTTATTTTTACAACAATATATGAACTCAAATTTTCTTATTTTTTATATATTTAGTGTTATTTACTTAGATATATTTATTATTTACTGTTATCTAAATAAGTGAGTGAGTGAGTGTGGCAGCATCGTGAGACTGAGTGTGGCAGCATCGTTTCCGGGACACCTGAGATTCTGAGTGAGATTGAGAGGTTCTATGGGTGGCTGTACACATCATCGTTGGAGCCACACGCAAGTGTGAGTAACGATACAAGAGCAAGTCTTATCCGACACTATTCCGATGAATATCCCGGACGTCAGTCTGAGCAAGATTAGAATGGCTCTCCAGCACCTTAAAAACGGCAGGGCCCCAGGCGAGGATGGAATTACAGCGGAGCTTCTGAAAGCAGGTGGAACACCGGTACTTGAAGTCCTTCAGAAGCTCTTCAATTCCGTCCTCCATGGTGGCACTACTCCGGAGGCGTGGAGCAGAAGGAGGCGTGGTCTTGTTCTTTAAGAAAGGCGACAACGCTCTCTTGAAGAACTACAGACCGATATCCC